GAGCTAATCAGTGTTATACTGCTCTTTGGTGTTTGTTTATTTATTTATTAGCTTTTCCCTTAGAGACAATATACCACCCTCAAGCTATTGCATAAAGCCAAGCTTCGGGAAGATGTTTAGTTGCCATACAATTCCTCAAAGGCAACAGCAGTTTAATGTTTGATAACTACTTCATTTATATGCAGTATAAGTGTTTCACAATTTAAGGCAACAGGATCCATCTAGATAATGTTACTAATTAGGAAATTTGTATTTTAAATGTATTTGACTTTTCCTGCTAAAATATGGCTTCTGGATTTCTGCATAAAGCAAAAGGAACAAAATCATATACAAGAGAGAAACACATGCACATGGTTTTCATGCTGAAGCTCAGTTTTTAGAAATGTGAACATCTCTCCCTTTAGAATACCAAAACGTGTCAATGCTAATCTGCAGGAGCTTCCCTGGATGCCCTGAGGAGCATTTTGTTTTTCTAATGTATGAAATTTGATCTCAAGTTATTTACCCAGCAGCCAGAGGGATTCTTTGTGGACCCAAGCCTTGGTGAAGGGAGGACATTGCCATGCATTTTAAGAAAGATGCACTTTCTCAGAAGACACTACAGGTCACTGTGCTGTCAACATAAGGCAGATCCAGCCAAACACACACCTTTGGAACTCACCCGTTTGCGTGCACTACAACAAAAATCTACCTTCCCTAGCTCAAACAGAGAAGAAACTCCAGATTTGCACAATACAGAGCCAACTTCAGATCCAGGAGGATAAATACTCAGTAAAAGAATCCCAGAGAGACATCTAAGAAAGTAATCACACCTGGAAACCCTACAATTAAGGGAAGCCAAGCACAATACAGAAAGCATTGCACTGGTGTGGAACGCCCTCAAGTCCCTGTCCTTACCCAGGTACTACTTTCTTCTCCTCATCACTTTCATATTCAGCAAGAATCAGCTCCTCCTCGTTGTGATCCAGCTGCTCTAGAACATCTGCTCCTCCTCCGTCCGAAAGAACCTCCTTGCTGAGCCGAAGAAGGCGCTTTGTCTCATCCTCCTCAGATCTCTGAAAGGAGCACACAATCACATTATTTCTCATTCAGAATAAGAGGTAGCACTGACATCACTTTATGCCATGGACAGGTCAGAAGACAGCACAGTCCCTCATCCAGAACACAGGGAACGGCCTGATGGGCAAAACCCCAGCAGGACAAACAAATGCATCAAGCTGTTCAACCGCACAGGAGGCAGCTAATATCAATAGCCAAAGTTTGCCCACATAGAAATACATGAAAGGGAAAGAAAAAAAAAAACAAGGACTTTTGTGCAAAGGGCCCACCAAATTCCTAACTCCTGAAATGATAACACACACATAATCCAGCACTCGGTTCCTTGAAGAGGCCAACAAAAGATGACTGACTGGGGAAAACAGTATGTAAAAAAAAAAAAAAAACAACGAAGAAAACCGATAAGGACATAATGAAGTAATCTGTCCACGGCGAAGGTTAGCATAAACTCAGTAACTGTTTTAAACTGAGAAGCACAAGATTTCTCTTGCTGGTTCTTTTCCTAACACTATGGTTCTTACTCTAACACAGATCTACCCCTCTACAAAAATTCTATGAAAATACTAAAGAATAGTTTTGATGGTTAACTGTGTTCTGTTACAGAAGAGGGGGTTTTCAGTCTGAAAGCAGTACCTTCCAACTTCAATAAGCATTCCTTCCTTTAGCATGTCATTATGAAGAAAGGCAGTTAGCAAGCACTATACAGCAGATGAATCATTTGTTTTTTCAAATCTCTACACTATTTTCTCTCATCTGCTTTCTCCCCTTTTATCGTGCGTCTCATTTTCATGCTTCTCATTCTCTTTTTAGCGACATAAGTTCTTTGTTCCATTTATTTTTTATTTGCCATTTACCTCTGAACTTTTGCCATTTCTGTTATCCGCTTTTGACAAGAGTTGACCAAAACTGAACACAGTACTTCAAATGGAGCATACTAGATACTAATAGTCTGACAGCCTAATAAGTCTGCCTGCCTGGGCACTTGAAGTGTGTTTTTCTGGAAAGTTTGACTCATATTACCAAAAAGCTCTTAGAGTATTGTGACCAGTTAACTCATCTAAATGGCAGAAAAATATACACCAACTGAATATGCAGAAAAGAGCATTTTCTGAACAATACAATCACATTCTCCATGAAAGTAAACAAATACAATTGTTCACTAGTGGTGAGCAAAGCACAACTAAAGCCTGATCCGACTTTTTTTGGTCCCATGATCTTAAATTGAACCCAGCTCTACAGATTTTATTTTGGATGTACACAATCAGTGTTCACACATGCTCATGAGAGCTTTTGAACAGCTAGCTTTCAAAGAAACTAAGTATCAAAGCTTTTGAAAGAAAAGCAAAGGGATGGAAGGCTATCAGAATGCATCCCCTCTCCATGTGAATACACAAGTGCCGTCGCAGGAAATTCTCTACACTCAAATTGTTTTTCGCATTTGTACTTTAAAAAAAGAATCCAACCAGAAATTTGGGATGGCCAGTTCAGCAGTCTAATGCAAAGAGCCTCCCAAGCATATGGGGAGCTCATCCGATTCCACTTAGAAAATTCAGAGTCAAGTTGTGCATGCAAGAATGAAAAGACGTGATATAACCAATAGAGAAACTTCTAAGCTTTGTAAGACAACTCACTTTTCTCTTTGCTGCATATTTTAACTGCACATTATGGCGAATTTTCTCAAGTCGATCTTCTCGATTTTTCCTCCTGATCTGCTCTTCCTAAAATAAAGGGAAAGTGAAGGAAGGATGAAAGGGGTTGAGCTGTAAAACTCAGGTATAATTACCTTCTAGTACCCCAGAGATACAAAAAAAATGCATCTGAATCAAAATTGTCAGTATGCAGTCCCTTTCTCCTTGAGTGCATTCCTACTCTACATTCCTAAGTTTGGAGCAAGTAGTTTCCTATCTTATGCCATCCGCACAGCAATGCTTCATCCTTCTTATCTGGAACAAAGTGCTTTGAAATAGGACCACGACCACCAAAGACTGCATCACTTGTTTCTCCAATTACCACCCATGGTACCACCCATTCTGATCCTCACACCTTGCTACTTTCCCCTTCCTCTACAAAGGAGCATTTCTCAACCTTTAGTCTGTCCACCATTTCCCGTTCTTCTTTCTTCTGCACAAACGCAGTGATCCAGTCTGGTTCCCTGGCTGAGCTTTTCCTATCTGGATGCCCGGGGTCATCCGAAGTCCCCTTCTGAAGGGACTCATCTGAAGTCAGCAGCTTCTTCTCCTCCTGTCCATTGTGCTCAAGTGCTAGAAGTCGGGCCTCCTCCTGCTTCTTTTTTTCCTCAAAGTCTCTGAGCCAGGAGAGGGCTCCACAGATAAGACTTAAAGATTTTCCCTGTCATTGAAAACAAACAAGACAAGCCACACATAGCTGAAGCATTGGTGTCACTGACAGTCAAGCAGCAATGCTGCTCCAAAGAGGAGACCCACATGTTGACAGTTCCAGCTCAGCAGGATCAAGCCAAGACCATGTGCTCAGATATAGGAAATTTCACACTTACTATTTGGCATTTCCCTTGTAATTGCCTTCTTTCTGTTTTTCCCCTTGCACCTGTCAGGGGCAGGCGGTGCACACCAATGCCAGCAGAGTCCTGCCACTAGCACCACAGAGGTGGCCAAAGTGCCTCCAGGCCGGCACCGTGGGCTCACCCTTTGTGAGGCAGCCGAGTCCCCAGGGTCCCTTGCCCCTTTTCCCAGGCACCACCGTCCCCCCAGCAGGGGTCTCCTTCCCCCTCCCACCTGACCGCCCTGCCGGGACCGGCTCCCTAAAGCCGCGCCCCCCCCCCCCCGCCCCCCCGCC